TTTCTTTGTGACTAGCGGAAAAAATGCTTGAAAAAACATTTGAATGTTATGAAATGCCACAACAACAAAAAATGTATTGCTTTAATTCATTCATTTAACATAAAAAACCGGGATCGAGCATATATAAAAAAAAAAAAGAAAAAAAAAAAGTTCATTCCATATCAGTAAAAAGCACCAACGAAATTATACAACAAATACAATTTGTAGAAGAGCTACGCATAGGAAATAACAATATTAGGTCAACATGCATGAAAACACAAAAAAAAAAAAAAAAAAGAGGAAAGTACATACGCACACACATACCTACACACGCACACATACGCACATGTATTTAAATGTACACACAATCGTTTGTGTGTTGTTATTTTTGTTATTGGGTTTTATTTATCGCTTTTTATTCGATTCTATGAGTGATTGAATATGTATTCGGACCAATAATTTCTACTGCCGTTAAGCAATTTTGTGGCAGTAGTAGTAGTTGTTGTACAAAGGGCTAAAAACACCAAAAAGGTCCACACACTCACAACAATTGGTGTCCAAAGGCAAAACAAAAAAAAAAAAAAAAAGAAAGCCGAAAACATTTCATAATGTTTGTTTAAAAGTTTTCAAAAACAAAAAAAAAAAACAAAAAAGAAACTAACAAGAGTAAAAACAAAAGAGAAGGAAACAACGAATGTATGTAAATTTGAATGTAAATGTTATTCAGTTCAAATAACAATTTTTGTTCAATAATAAAAAAAAATTAATTTGTTGTATATGGCAATTGAATGTTGCTACTATTGTTGTTTTTGTTGCTGTCGTTGTTTATATGGGAAAGATTTCTATAAATGCTTATATATGTGTGCGTTGCTTTTTTAGTGATAATAAAATTACATTTGATTTAATTATAAATTTCGTTGTATACAAAAAAAAGAAAAAAAAAGATTGAATGCTAAAAACAAGAAAACACACACAGCATTTTTTATGCGATGCAATGGAATTTTTAATATTGAAATTTAAATGAATTTAAACATCGTATCAATCGCTATTCACGCTATTTTTCAATGCGTACCGAATAAAGACCATTCACCCGTACATCTATGCACAGTACATACGTTTCCTGTTCGTTAATAACGTCGCGAAAGAACTGATATAAAATAGGAGTAGGATCGAAGTCAAATTGCTTTCAGAATACCAAGAAGAAGAATTAAGATATCATTGTACAGAAGTCTCGATAGAGTGATATCGAAATTCATATACAATCCAAGGAATATGCTGAGGTTCCCGAGATAATAACACCACAAAGAAGATGACATAAAGTAGAGCTGCAATGGAATTCAAATTACTTTCAGAATAATAAGAAGAAGACTTAAGATATCATTGCAAAAAATTTAAGATATAGTTAAATAGAAATTCGTATCCAATCTCAGGAAATAAGAGGCCCTTCGAGCAAGTAAATTCAGAAAGGAACTGACGTAAAGTAGAAGTAGAAGGAGATCCAAATTACGTTCGGAATAATGAGAAGTTAACAAACAGCAACGTCGATATACATATCCAATCTAAGAAAGTAAAAAAGTCTTGGCCCATAAAGTCCTCGAGCAAGTAAGTTCATCGAAGCACTGACACAAAGGCGCTGTAGAATGGAATCCAAATTACATTCAGACTAATAATAAGAATAATCAAAAGACTTTAAGGCTCAATAAAATTGAATTGAAGAAAATAGAAATGTCTTAAGTCTTAAAATCCTCGAGCAAAGTTATTTACGGGGGAATGATGAAAAAAAGAAATAAAATAGAATCTAAATAATAAGCAGATAAGATGTTGTATTATAAAAGAAAAAACCGAATAAGGAATATTGCTGTGAGCTTACACGAGGACTTGGACTAACACGAAGAACAATTCCTTATTAAAGAAATGTTTACACCCAAAAAGACAATAAATTTCTTTATTCATATTTTTTTCTTTAAAGTGCTGCCCTTCATTTTAATTTTTTTCCAAAGTGAAGCCAAGTTGGATGCTTCATTTTCGTATAAGTTCTTGTAGAGTTCTTTATAAAAATGTCTCTAAACACAGCAATGCAAGCAACACTAATAAAGAGTACCGTTATGTGCAACAGCGTAACGAGGCCTATAACGATTTCTTTTCGCAAAGAAAAGTTGTTTACGAATTTTTTAGAAATGGATGAAAAAAAAGTTTGATTAGACAATTGGATGGAAATTCTTACTTATTTCTTCTAGTTGCGAGATCCACGTCGTTTATTGTGAAGGAGTCGTTCATGTTTTGAGGCCTTCTTTTTATTGCAGGGCTTCACCTTTTCTGTTTTTTGTACTATCCGCCTGCCTCTACTTCAGAAGTAAAAAGGAATGTAAAAACTGGAAAGGGAGCTTTCAGGATTTGTCTTTTACTTTTTACCAATTTCAGATAAACCATTTTTCTTATATGCAAATAGTTTTTTTAAAGAGATTTTGTTGATTGTCATAATTAAGAGAAGGTTTCTTACCATTCATGGACGGGCCTTGTATCCAGTTTGGCCATTTTCGGAACTAGACTTGATAAGCCTGTTAAGGATCACTTTTGAAATTACGCTTTACTTCTGAACTAACTTCAGAGGTTGCAACTGTGACGTCAGTTTAGAGATGGCTTATTCAACTCCATTGATTATATAATCTATAGGAGTGTAGTCTTTATTTGTTATAAATGTGTAAAATTATATGATGTAAACACAATAGTCTTAGCGTAGAATATGTCACGAGTTGTCCTTCTTATCGTTCCATCTATAGCGCCATAACATGAATCGTAAGATGTTATGTAAGGAATGGAAGTTTGCAACTATTTTCAATGACATGAAAAAAAATGCAGTGAATATTGAACGAATACAATTTTAAAATAAAATATACTTTAAAAAACCAAATTTTTCAACTAAAACGCCTAAACCAATCAGTTGGGTTTTTTCTTAATCTCACAATGTCGAACTGCATAGTTTTCTTTCTTTAAGAGAGAACCATCGTCTGCACAACTAAGTGAGTGGTTTTGTGGAAATCGAGCAATGAGAAGCATTTTTTTTCATTTGTCTTAAATTCGGAGCAAAAAGTAAAAAAAAGCAGGGATGTTGAGCGCCTAAAACGGCAGGTTATCGATAAGTGCGAGTCATCAGCAAGAAAGTCTGCATGCGCAGATTTTTTAATGAATATGTTCAGCTTAGTTTTGATAAAAGAAATTTTGGTAATTTGTACACTTATGCGTACAGAGAGAGACCCTAACACTTTGAAAAACAAAAGAAAAATTGCGAACATACGTCTGATTATAATCTCGGAACACGTAAATAAATATGAGATTTATGAGTGCATATAAACACTGTCGCAATGAGTGTGCGCACATAAACATGCCGACGTTGTCTGTCGGCTGTTTTGATAATAAAACTGTACTGAAATAAGCGCAAAAAAATTTCTTTTTCTAGCGCAAAAAAATGCGTTACTTCTTGTCATATCATAATTGTGTCGAACCTTGCCTAACGTTCTCCGAAAAACGAAATTTCAAATTTTACAGAAAAACGGCGCACAACGAGACATGAAAGTAAAAATGTTTAGAATATGGGTTACCCCCTGAAGAAATCTTCAACTCTTCATCCACTGAATTTTTGGTTTAGACGACTTTTTGCTGTTTTCGACTGTCAACTGTTCCTATTTTAAGAATTTGGACTTCTTCCAGTCATCGGCTGTCGTCCTTATATATGGAGTTGAATATGGGGCGATTGTGGCGGCTTCATCTTCGTGTGTCAATAATTGTGTCTTTCTCTATGAATCACACGCAGTTTGCAGTGTGTTGCAGTTCTCGACGTAGTCTTTCAATTTAGCAAGCAAATCCAGTGGGGGTAGTCACGTTTAGTGTTCAACGGCTGAATAAGAAAACTGAACCCAATTTTCAGGTATGTTATTAGTCCCCTGAACATCTTACATATTACAGACGATTTTCTTTTGTTTATTGCCCTCTTGAGTAAGCGCTTTTACCCTAATCATAACATTTATTGCATTCCCTTTCTCGAGTATTTTGGTCTCACTCCTCACGAAGATTCTATGGTGCAAGAAATACTAGTTATTTTGCTTATATCTTCATTGCCTTGCGTACCTTTCTTACGTCGTGTTGCCAGCAACAAGGGAGGCACTACGCTTCTTGGAGGGATTGTCGGTGCTTTAGACACATGCATTCCTCTTAATGGTAGACTTCACCATCCACTTTAGGATTTTAAGTTTTTCTAATAAGTGGGTCTGCTACAGTCCCCAAATTATTGACAATTCCTGAGATTGCTCTTCTAAATGGCGTGTGCTTGTGAAAGGTACCAAGCAACATAGAAGATATATGTCAATCTTCGGCATTTAAAATGTTACAATAGCAGACTGGAAAATCGTATTGACACACGATATATCGAATGGTAAAGCTGATGGGCTCGACCGTCCACTTGCAGTTAGCAGGAATAATAAATGTAAGCTTCAATTTCCTGTATCAAATGTGGCCCTTCCTTCAAGGTTCCATCAGTAGGCCTTGATAAACATATGGACGAAAATGGGTATAAATAAGTTTTCCCAGCACACTCAGGTACGTGTATATTTTTTGTGTTTTCCCAAGTCTTACAATTCCAGAAGCGAAAACAATGTTCTTTGCCTCATTATTTAAAAGTTCCCTTCCCTCGGCAATATTTTCTGTTTACCTGAAAATGGAATTCGGCAGAGTTGCGATGTCAAGCTGAGCTGATATGCGTACGTATAAATTTTTTTTGTTAAAAAATCGGAATGTGGTTTAAAAGCAGTTGTAATATTGCGCGAGAGAAGCCATTTTGTTTTATATTATCACCACGTAAGCGATGAAGATGTGTATATAAGTTAAACGCGTGTGCGCAATCATAGAAACCGCAGATCTAAACTTCTGCGAAAAAAGACCCGATAAGTATTTCAGTAATGACAGACATTGTCAGAAGTTAACTTCACTTAGCAGAAAATTGCAGCAGAAGTAATAGTTCTTTCGGAATGTCTTTACCGAAAAATTCAATTCATATTGAAAGCAACTCAGTGAGCCGCTCTCCTATAAATAGCAAGAATAATTCTAGCGTAGAGCAGTTAAAAGGAAAAAATCGCCAGTCACCAGTCACTTTTGAACGAGAAGTTGTCAGAAGAAGTACAAGTGCCGAGAGTACATGCTCGGCGACCATGTCGAACCAACTAGCGACAACGGATAAGGTTAAGAGCAATCATTCCGCTGAAGAAAATCATATCATAGACGAATGCAAATTAGAAGTTACAGTTAATGAATTGAAAAATAACCTTAAAATACGAAAATTTCATTGCAATATGTGCCCGGTAACTGTGGACTCGTTGAAAAAATTGAAAAATCATAAGCGCATACATTTGCAAAGATTTTATTGCAGTGTATGCTCTCGTGAGTTTGTGAGTAAGCATGAGCACGCTTTTCATGAGACCATCTGTCAAGCCAAAAATGAGGTTAAGTTGACCGAGAGTGAAGAAAGCAAAGAATTCCTCATACCGGGAAGACGTACGATTCGAACTAGATCCAGAGCAATTACATTTACGTCCTTAGTGTCGACGAACACTGTGAAAGAGGAAGAAACAAAAATATCTAAGCAAATACCGACTACTAACGAAAGTTCGAGAGGGTGTAAGATTAAGCTGCCAGAAGAAAATACAGTTGGCAAGAATGAAACGTCAAAACGGAAAGTTGAGAGCGGGACCCGTTTGCAACTCTCAGCAAAAAGCTATAAAGAAAACGTTTCGAAAAGTAATTCAGAATTTTGCGATCGGCTTAACTGGCAAATTACCAACGCAAAGGAATACGGTAAGTGAGATTGTGTGTTCAAATATTAGAAAAAAGGAATTTTTTCATCTTCGCAACTTTCATTATTCAGATCTTCGTCTCTTGGATCGTTTCATAAAGCAAGTGCTCGCGAAATCATTTACATGTTTTCAGCCTAAATGTCAATTCAAAACTGATACCATTTTGAATATAATGTTACACGACTACGTACATCATTTTAAGAGCGCTTGGTTTTTTTGCAAAAAATGCGGTGATTGTTTTACAAGCAAGTGAGTCAATTAAAAATTAAGCAAACTCCCGATTAAGTGCACTTCCCTTTCTATTGTTGACGATTTTCATTTTGTAGAGTATTTCTCGACTACCATTTACATCGGCAAGACAGAGGCCATTATTTGTGTTTCAAGTGCGACAAGTTTTTTTCCTATCAGTATGACCTGGATCGTCATTTAATTGAACACAATCGTTACCCTAAATACCGTTGTGATTACTGTAAATCTGGATTTCTTACTGTAGAAGAGTTGAACAAACACTTCGCTGCCCAGAGACCATCAATTATTGATCGAGAGTTGAGTATGATTGCAACTGATGATGATAAAGAGAAACCTGCTTTGACTCGTGCTGATGTGAAATACGAAGTTAAAATACTGGATATGAAACTTCCGAAAATTCCCTCCAAAATGCCTAAATCTCTAGATGTGATGCGCCGTAACATGCCACCCCATCTAAGGAATCCGTATCGTCACTATAAAATTGGTCGAATGGAATTTAAAAATCAACCTGTACCCAATTGCTTAGCAAACTGGTGATGAATTTTTATTACTTAATTAGATTATTATTATATAAATATTTCCATAAAACAAAAAGAAGAAGAAGAGTTTAGGTAGTATTGTTGTTTATTCTTAAAAGTCTAAATAAAGAGCATGAGAAATTCGTATGCTGTAGTAGTCTAGCTCGGAAGAAGAATACAGGAGGACTCCGCGATATCCATTTGAAGATCTAAATAATTCCTGCCTATAACTGCCGCTAAGATTGCAGATTTCCGCAATGGTAGAGAGACGTCCGACGCCCTACAAAATGTAATGCAACAGACGCGACACTAATTTTTTCTTTTGCACTCATGGCATAGTCGATGTTTCTTGATGTTTGTTAGTAGTTCGGAGACATACTTCTGCTGATAATAGAGAATCATTTGTTATTCTGAATTCTAGAAGAAGACCAAGACACATCTCTTCGTCCATCTTCCTTTCCGGTATATTTCATTTTGGAATCGACATAGAGATGACTGTCTTTATTCCATAACTCGCTGCAAATGACGACTTTGGAGAAAGCGTTCATGCCTTTTCTATAAAATAAATTCTACTTGGAACTCTAAATTCTTATTGGGGATTCATGAACGAATACGCTTGTGATGAAAGTGTATATAAAAATGATTCATGCCATACCAAATGAAGCTTGTGAACTCGGCAATGTTCTGCTGCTGAGTATGTCATCTTCAGATGTCACAAACTTGATCATTTGAAAGGGTCCTTCTGCCTTTCAGGTTATATGGCCTTTTTTAAAGACAAATAAAGGCTTCTCAACTTCGGGAGTTAACTTATGGGATTATAATTGCTTAGACGTAAATTTCTGAAATAATCTTAATTCAGCCAAGGCTTGCAAGTTTGACTTTGCATCATTGCTTACACATGTACAAGCTTTTCAAGGCCTCAGTTTTCTTAATATAAAAAAAAAAAAAAAACAGCCATAAATAATCCTCGAGTTAATTAACTATCTATAATTTGTGTATAAAAGTCACGTTTCTTATTGGCTTAGTCCATTCGAAAGCAACATAAAAAAAAAGAAAACCCAGTGCGAAAATTATATTTGGTCGTGACCTAACCTTTTATACCTACACCACGTAGACTGGAAGGAATTAAAATTCTATAGGTTATAATATTGGGTGGCGGCCGATTTTTCTATTTGTGTAGAATAAAGTGGAGAATGCTATCTCGGAAAAAAAGTGTTCTCTTGGTTTGCTGCTGCTAGAGAGATCATAATCTTTTACTTCTTCCTTTGTTACCTATCCATGGATACAAGCGATCATATTCATCAGCGGCAAACCTTCTGAGTCAACACTAACACATGTCGGCCTTCAATTCATCTCCATAGACATCGCGAAGTTTCTTTATTGTCACCGCAGAATTAAATCCCGCATGAATATCGAAAAGTATGACGGATATGATCCTCGGTAAGTGCGGACGCCCTTATTTTGTCACAGGATTGTAAAAAAAATTTTGATTTTTGGAATAATGTCTGTGCAGGCTCTTAGGCTGGAAACCAGGAAAGAAAGCATGTTTCCACTTCAACGATCGGTACAGAATTAAAAGCAAAACAAATTCTTCGCAACTAATTGATTACGTATAGCTACTCCTAAGATGTGGTACCACGGGTTTTCTAAAGGATGAGTTCTATTGAAACTAGCTTTAATTTCAAAAATTTACAACAAAAGTGGGACACGATTCGCCATTACATACCCTACAGCACTTCGCTTAATACAGCCATTCATATAACAAGTTTTCAGTATATAGACTTTATATTAGGAACGGTCGGAAACGTGGTCCGATCCGAACCATATTTCTTCCCTCTCGTTCGTCCTTGGGCCAAAATTTCTTAGTGTGCTAAATTTCATCAAAGTATTTGCGACTTGCAGATTGAACATAAGAAAAGAAGACGGGCAGACGGACAAAAAGTGACTCTGAATCGATCGGTATAATAAAAGTCATTCTGTGTGCTGCATATATCCACACAAACTTGAGCAATGAAAAAAGAAATGAAAGGAACGAAAACTCGAAAGGCATTGGATCGCTTCTTGGGCACACTTCCATATGAATGTTCTCTAAAGGTGGCAGCATCATCTCATTTATGTACCAGCAAAGTCTAACTAACTTTCACTGTTTTATGGCAAAAAGGGGTCTGCAAAGCATTTTATAATCAGCCATAATCAACGTCAATGGATTTTATATTACACTGCCTTATGTTCAGAATGAACGTTGCTCATGTGTTGTGTTTTAAGGCTTAAAATCGTTTACTTAAACTAAAGTTTTATTCGTGTCATCAATTTAAAAGTCGAATAAAAATGATGAGCCAATCATATAAAAATTTCATGTTTTCCTTTGGTTTAACATGTTTATCACAGCAAGCAATATGTTACCGGCTGCATAAGTTTATCCATATAGAAATGCCCTATCCACACTATACATGCTATATAGATGTACACACACACATACACTTATATGTCTGACAGGTAATCAAAGAGTCGTTAGAAAAAAATGCCGACAAACAAAAAGAAGATTTAAACTTTGAATAGCTTAACATAACCGAAACGTGTGTGGGTTGATTTTTGACAAATGGCAGCAATAGCAGCAACAGCATGGTAACAAACTTTTCATTGATAACATGATTAAAGGATGTGTAAATTAAATATTCATGTAAATGTCATTTTTAAATAAAAACGTTAATAATTTCTTTTACCTTATATACGGGTGTCTGTCTGCATCAAAAAATTTATATGAGTTTTGATTTTTTGACAGTTTGACACGTGCGCTTTGCGGCAATGTTTCATTGACGCGGCCCTTTCCCCTTATTTTCCTTCTTTTTTTTTTTGTCCTCTGTACATAGATAGCTTTGCATTAAGCCGGTTGTGTTGCATATTCACCCCATGTTTAATGTTTTTTAATTTCGTTAAAGGGTTGTGTGTACCGTAACTGTTTAAATAATTTATGACCGACAATAAAATACTTATAAATATGTAAAAAAACAAAACGCAGTTCTAGGCATATACAAATTTTTGTTGAAAGTAAACGGGAGCAATTAAGTGATAACAAGCCAATTTACTTAAGAATTACATAAGTAAGTTATTTACACATTCTTTAGTCTGCTTGGTGCGTTATATGAAATCTCTTATGTAGGTGTTTCACTCTCTTACGCCCCCAGGTCTCACCACCAGGTCTCGGAAATACATTTTGTGGAATTTAAAAAAAAAAAAAAAATTAGAAAACCATATTCATCTCTGACTGAATCTTCTGTCCTCATCGCTTTTACATTAAAACAGAAATTATTACAGTTTATGGGTAACGAGAAAAGATATACATTTTCTTCACTCATCACCGAAGGATGGGTGTTTATGTTCACTTTGTTTCAGAGATCCCGTAATAAGTATGTGATCAGTATTAAGTTCTGAATTGATTGAGGCATGTCCGTCTGTCCGTCTGCGGAATATATGTTAAAACACTCTCCTGGCGACATCGATTTCCAATGTGTAAAAAGGGTCCAAATCGCGCGTATGATAGATTCGCCCACAGCGATCAGGTCTCTTACTCGTTTTGCAAAGGTAGCTGTTCTCACTTTACCTTGTAAAGGCGTCGCCTCTTTCCAGAGTCAACCTGCGAGCAGTATTTTGATACGTTTGGCGGAACTTGGAGCCGATATCCGAGCTTCAGCACCAACCATGTCACGTAGACGGGCAAACAAACATGCTCGAAAGCTGATTCCATATGATAAAAAGTGGGTCTATCTTAAAGCTTTCCGTAACGTACATCCGCGCAAACCTACACCCTATACCATAAGCAAAACTTATTTACGAAGCCTACTGCTTCAATGTTTTTTATTTGAGAGCTTTCCTCTCTGTACTGTTTATGATTACCTTAAGGAAAAAACGGTCTCTGAAGTGAAGTGTCAAATTCGTAAAATTTTGCAAATGGCTCTTAAAAGTCCATCTGCAAATATTTTACGACGCATTCGGTCCCTAAATTACTTTTTCATCATGAAACAAATGTAATATAAAACAAGTAAAAGCACTATAGTGGACGTGTAAGACCGACCAATTTTCAGTAACTCGTACAACGTTTTCAAAATAAGCCGTTATATGAGATGTTGTCATAAAAGTAGTCCGAACCCCGAAAATTTTTAGTGTATCGAGTTTTTTTAAAATATCGTAAAAATTGCGGCCATTAGATTGAGCACAAGAAAACCAGACGGACATACGGACAGACGGGCAAAATCCTTTTCTAAATCGATCGGCGTAATAAAAGAATCTCTCTGAACTGCACCTGCATGCTGCATACATCCGTGCAAACCTAAGATATCCTCGTACCACAAGTGGTGTAGGGTATAAGAAGACAAAAAATGAAATGTTTAAATATAGAATAAAAGACTAAATATGATTTTGAAACATCCTCTACGTATAGTCTTTCAAATATTAGTAGCAGTTTTTCAAACATTATTACCCATAAAGATCAAAGATCTCTCCTCAAGTCGATTAAGGGAAGTTTTCTCAACACTTTACAATGAAATTCAAGAAAATCGTTTCACATTGTCACCTATGCTTCATTTAATGCGATCGTATTTCAAAAAAAAAAAATAAAAAAATAAAATAAAAGGAAAATTGATCACAACTATCCCTTCTAACTTCCTGTCGTCTGTTTGAAAGACAAACACTTTTAGGCGGAAAATGTATTTCTGAGCTGGTTGGCTGGGTTTGTCTGCTTAATGAAAAATGTTTATTTGCTCGTAAAATCGTACAGATGTCAACAGAGTGTAAAACTGACGAGCTGAACATCTATTTATTAAAAATGCAAAATCGATTCCATGAAATATTTTTGAACAACAAAAGAGAAAAGGAAAACATCTGTTTTGGTATTTGGTTAACAAGAGTCGCAGGCATTAATGTGTGACTTTTTCTAGTTAATAGTTCACTAAGTGCTATTAGAATCTATTTTAGAAGAGAAAGGATGTCGAAAATGGTTTTCAATTTCACTTTTAAAAGCAT